TGGTGAACACTGCTCGAAGGTATAATAACAAGTGAATAACAAGATGAATTTAATGATAAATAATATGTCGACACACAAATCGATGTATAAACAATTGCAAATGGGCTCAATGTCGATCAACTTACATATGCCAAAGAAGGAACGACCAAATTAAAATAGTTCTGTCAGAAATAAAAACTGAAGTAGGAGGTATCTCTATCCACATCATTCAGTCAGAAAATGTTTAGGAAAACCAATTGTAAGACTAGATATGTTTATAACAGAAAAAACAACAACCTGAACACCCAAGTCATTGACAATCATCCAGTATTTCGAAGTGTGTGTGAAACAGTTGTGAATGCTACTTCAGTGAAAGCTGATGAATGGGTAAGAATCAAGAATAAGAAACGAACAAGTACTAGTCTCCCCATCAGTACTTGAGAAACTGGAGAGTTACCATAGTGACAAGTCAGTTGTCTTTCATAAATTTAAGCAGAGAAAATGCTCAGAACCCATAACTCACGTTGAGCATGACACTGATATTGATAAAACATCTACTTAACCAGGTAATGTCAAAAGATATCTCTGGAGTCACCTTGCTGAGTGTTTGTAGATTAGGTAGCCAAATGGGAGGCATTATTATTATTATTTATTTTAACACAAAAGTATAGGTACAGGGAGGCACCAAGTACATATGCGCCACACGAATCTCAATTGATTTGTGTGAGGGCTGTGATACTGCCCGGGTGCCCAAACCAAAGCAGATGGTTTTCTTAGGGGGCCACACACCGAGCCTTCGACCTGAACGTCTGACCCACAAGGCAGTGGAGTATCGTGAGGAGATGCGGTCCCATGGTAGCCGGTGACTAACGATTGGTTCATACGCCCTTTGTTCCCGCAGGATACTGGAGCCCATGTGCACCATTGGTTTGGGATCCGGTTAAAGCGCCGGACATTCGCTTTTCGTCCTCTCATTTTCGTAAACAACAGCCCCACCACGAGAAGGCAGTGAGTAGGACTTCCCTGGCAGAGGCTATATACGCATGGCCATGTGAGAGCATTTCGAGAGAGAGAGAGCGGACTCTCCCCACTCTCGGCCGTACCAGGGCATTTGGGGGATAGCCAAATGGACTTGAAAGAAAAGCAAAACTCCATCAAAATCATCCACCTGAGCTACAAATCTTCTCCACCTTCTCACAAACCAGGCTCCCAAAATTGGTATTTAAATCTTCCAATGAAAAGGACTTAATATTGCAGAATGGACATGAACTGAAGGGATCGGCAGATTCTTTCCCGTAAATGCCTGGCGCTTAAAGACCAAATAAAGACGAGAAGCTGAAAAGGATTTAGAACTAAGGCTATGTGCTGGCGAGCACATTAGAATCGTAAATCTTTTAGGAGGGAGAATGATCCCGAAGCCAATTTAGGTGCAGTACAAAGCCATTTAAATTGTCTTCCGATCTATCCCAGTCCATGTCGTCTCATGGACTAGCAACGACAGAGAAAACAGCTACAAGAGAAGGAAATATCAAGCAACATTATGATACCAGTCAAGGAAAAAGAAGGCAAGGCAACAAGTGAGACTGAAGTGCAGAAAAAAAGGTACGTAGAGCACCTTGAAGAACTCATGAATAGTTCAGTACACTAACCACACCGGACATCGAGGCAGCACACATAGATCTTCCTAAAGGTATCAACTCCACCAAAAGCACTCAAACAAATCAAGAATGGGAAAGCAGTAGGACCTGACAGTATGTCAGCTGAAGCACTGAAACCAGACATAGAAGCAACTTCAAAGACGCTATATGTTATATTAAGGAAGATTTTGGAGGAGGAACAAGTGACGACGGACAGGAAAGAATACTTCATCAAAAAAAAAAGAAAGGAGATCGGAGCAAGTGTGAAAAATACAGGGGCACCAAACTAATATCGGTACCAGGAAAATTTTTCGGTGTTTTTGAACCGGATGAAAGTTTTAGTACACGCCCAACTTTAAGAAAAACAGGCCGGATTCCGTAAGGATCAGTCGTGCACAGACCAAATAGCGGCACAACAGATCATCGTTGAACAACCGGTTGAATGGAATTCGTGAATATACACCAACTTCTTTTACTATGAGAAGGCGTCTAAATAGGAAACGTTTATGGAAATGATGGCTTAACTAAACTGAATTTTTTTCCATTTTCATACAGAAGAACCAGAGGTGAATTGATCAAAGAGCTTCAATTAATTGGTAGTAAATTTGCGTCTTATATGCCCGCGTTTTTCTTGTCTCCCAAAATAGAAAATTTACGAGGACGCCCTAAAAATGTTCACAAGCCTATAACAAATTACTTGTCAGGTGACTATCGATTTTCCCAATGAATCCACACGTAATTGAAGCTTCATCTATCGACGCTTTAAAAAAGAAAGGTGAATCAAATGACAGTCCCGTCATTGTCAGAAATAACACAGGCCTTTCAACTTCGTTTTTTTCTAATCTGAAACTGCTTTCTCTATTTCATTAAGACTCAGGAGGCTTATGTTGTTTGGTTTACGTAGAAAATTGAATGGTAGCTGAGGAGAAATTAAACTGCTTTTTAAGGTGTTTTGCTCATTGTTCTGATTTTTGTTGAGAATGAATGGTGGTCCCATCTTTTCAAAATTGTTTCAGTAACTGTTTTTACGAAGTATACTTTGGTAGAGAAGTAACTTCTTTATCAGGTATGGATTAGTGCACTCAGTTTCAAGCCACATTATGTGTGAGAGCTAGTAATAATATCTAGTTGGCTAAACAAAAGTACACAGAGCAGAGTTCAAACCTGCAGCTTAGGGACTAAAAGTCTAGCGCCTTAACAAGTGAGAACGATGTTAAACGAAAAGGAGAAACTGACGTTAATTACAGCTCACAATAAAAAAATAGTGATTGATGATCAAAAGATGTTTGGTCACTTTGTTCTCGATGTATACTGACAGAATTCGGATATTAGTTTTTTTGAAGAACTTTCCATTATGGTGATAAAATTAGATGATGTAAGATAACGACATAATTTTATTTCACGTCACTACTTGTTCAAACAATCAGAAGTTATATAGCATCTTAAAAAAATTATTTCTAAGGTTTCTGATTAGTAAGTACGTTGCAGACATTTTACTTAATACATGTTATGTTTCCGTAAAGTACGTAGTCGGACTGATAATATTGTCGATAATCAATAGCGAGAGGTTTATGATGGGTCTATAAGCCTTTAAACGAAATACATGAAATGGAAAAAGCACTTGATAATTAAGCATGTACATGAAGATGTATTTTATACGTCTAAATGTGAATAGTTTAAGAATACATTACTGATACATTTTAGTTATGTTGTGAATGGGTAAACGTTTAACATGAAAAAATATAAATGGCTTCACAAAAATACTATCTGACCTAATTAATTATCAGCTTTATTAGGAAATAAAACAAGGGAAAAAGGATTCTTTGAATTAAGTCTTTCATTTCAACGAGAATGAACAGTCAATTACTCATTGCAAATATTTAATTTAATTAATCGTGTTTTTAGATTTATTCACATTATGCACGACATTAATTGGGTAGATTGTTAGTGGACAGATAAAATTATGTTGACGATAACTTTAAATGCTAATTTATCAAAAGATCGAGTATATGCATGCAAATCTAATCATTGTAATATTTCCGGTGGTCATGCACAGAAGTTTGATATACATTGAAAATACCATGTGAAACAATGTAACACTGAGAATACATTCAAAATTTACAAAAACTTGTTCTATATTCAACTAATTGAAAAGGAATCTTAAAAAAATGCGACAATATACTGGAGATAGAATCATAATTGAAGGGCAAGAGAACTAAAAATTAGTAGAGAAATTTATTTTTAAGTAGGCAGTAATGAACAAATTACAATTCACATGTGAGAAATGACATATTTGTATAGGTTTACTTTACGTTAGGTTAGATAGGTAATCAGCAATTTTTTAAGTAAAGTTTTATGAAAACTGACGTATTCTCCTAAACTTATGGTTTAAGACATCTGAATTTCGGTGAGCATATGTGATGACGATTACTGCAAGCCCCAAGTGTTGTCGATAACACAGGACATTGTATTAGCTTAAATTGACCGGGATTAGAATGCGCAAAACCGATTTCGTGATAATACTACGTTTTCGATTAAATTAGTCAATGAAAACAGATACTTTGTAAATACCTATAACGCCTGGATGAAAATGCTTAATTTATTTAATAGAGCATATTGCTAAATTAGGAAAACAATTTTTAAATTAAACATAATACTTAATGAACTATTAAAAAGGACATATGGGAACCTCATTATTATTCGTGGTCAGGTTATAAAGACTATTATAATAGATAAATAGATAATACGTGAAATGTAATTAACAAAACAGATCATACTAGTAATAATTAAACAACAGATGACGTTGTATGTTAAAACCCATTATTCATGATTGAATTAACCCTAATTACATTTAGTGAACTTGAATGATCGTTAAATAATAACAGTTCATTAACTCACTAACTCATTATTCAATCCCATTTTACCATATTATAGAATAACAGACGTAAAACTGATATGCACTTCTTAAAAAAGATATTATGAAGAGGGCAGTTAGGTAAAAGTATTGTGGAAAATAATCATTCCACACTGAAAAATTTACTTAGCAACAATAACTGTAAAGTATTCATAACCTTTATGGTATCATGGGAGGTAAGACAAACAGCACATGCAGTAGTTTACAAAACAATATAAACAGTATACAATGATGCACGAGTGTTTGTTCCGTTATTATGTTAACTTCTGTAATGAAAAATATATTTTGTTGAAAAAAAATTTGTAGGCACGTCAAATGAACAGTTAAAAACTAGGGATTTATAAACAACTACAAGCGAAAGACAATAAGTGTGAAACAGAAGATTTAACGTGCATCAACTTGTTCCTCATCTTTCATTGATAAGAAAAAAGGTTTAGTAACCTAACACCGCCTAGCTTATGTTTACTCACTTTCAACAGAGCACTCTGCTTTGACAATGGTACTACATGCCAATAATTCTTAAAATAAAAAAAATCAAATTGGAAGCAAAGAAATAAAACTTCGTATTAGCGAAAACTAATCAGTTTTGTTCGTTCGATTCCAATTCAACAACCAATCATACAGACAAACCGATAGATTAGGTGTAACGTCGGTATATCCTGAACTCTATAATCACTGATCAATATTATTTGGGCTACATAATCAACTTTTAATAAAACTATTAGTAATTACAGCCCCATTTTGCCAACTTTGCATCGCTAGTATTTTTTTAGCATACGAGTCAATTTCAAGTACGCTTAATGCTATACTTTGTTTCTTCTTAACACTATGATTATTTGTCCCGTTTGGAGAATCCATACTAAATTCACTAGTCAGAATTCATCAAATCATTGTTCTTAATCAGATTATTCTTTGTTAATTTAGGATGCCTGCAGCTAATGACAAACCTTGAAATAGAATTAATTTATTTTATTCTGCAAATCTTGTTTGCGTTCAAACTGAAAACAACAATCACTGACAATAATATAAGTAATATATATTAAAATGGAGATTTCAGAAGTTATATATATCTAACAGAACTAACTTTTTATATCAGCTGAGTCCTCAATTACTGCTGTAGAGCTGTCAGATGATTCCTTAATACCATCATTAGACTTCTTAGTTATAGAAGTATGACTTCCTGGAACGGTACCCCGACCAGCTATAAAGAGTATAAATCAACAAAATACAAAGTACAATTCTACGAAAAATACCCAATGATATTGTTGGAAGAAAACTAAATATTACAACATAGAATCTAAACATGACAAAGTTTATTTTCGGATGTGATTAAACAAATAGAAAACAGGGACTACGCAAAACGGCATACATGATACACACTGACTAATAACTGTTAGGTACTAGCTACTGATGGGTAAATTACAGAGATACTCATAGATAACTGTACACCGTACGAATGACACGAATTTTTATACGAAACAATGGTAAATAATTCAAAATCCAGTCAGCTTTGAAACGAAAAGACTCGGCTTTCCCGTTTTTAGAAAACCATTATCGACAAACTACATTTAAATGGAAAATGTAATCAACAACACCAATTTCAAATGACAACACTGAACGTTTAATCTAGGGAGACTTGATTGTGAAAAACAGTTAACGTATTTATTTTACAAATAATTCTGAAGGAGTTATCCAAAATGAAACCACATATGCAGACAGCCATGAAACCAAAATTATCAAAATTGCATATAAAACAAATGCGTTGATATTGAAAAAAACTTACAACTATCATCCTTTTTCACTGTGGATTCATATAAAAAAGAGGCAAAACATGCAAAAACACAATAGAAAGCATATCAAATGAAACGCGATATTAATAAATCTGATTGTGGTAGATGAACTACATGCAAATAACATTTTAATGGATTCAAACACCCATCAATACAAGTATACTTTAATAATGAATGTACAGAGGCATGAAATGAATTCGAAGAGGTCAAAGATACATTATGAGACCAACATTTAGCTATCAGTATATGGAAAGTGAACTTACTTGAAAAATTGCGTGTGGCTAGCATAGTCGTAAGTATAGCACCCTAGAAACGAAAAAAAAAGACAGAAAGCAGGAAACTGTTAAGTGGGTAGATAATCACATTTGTTTAAAGCATGCATAGACGCAAATGTGCCAATTATCAACACCCTGAAAAACGATTAATAAGTTTTAACATTGAGTTCAATTTAACGTAGACAATGAGAAATAAAACGCGTTGTAACTACTTATTACGGAGAAATTCGAGATGAAAAAGCTATTACTACACTTCAAATACAGATGGGTTAAGTAAATAGAGAACAAAAGAATTACTCAAGATGATGAGATATAATAAATATAGATAGTTTTTCGTCAAGTACATGCAATAAACTCAGTAGATGATTATGGTGGTCGAACACTAGCCCTATAAATGAGGTCAGATGACGCTTTGTAATATTTTATCTAGTCAATTAAAAACTAGTTAAGAATATCTTGGTTTGAAGATTGAACATGACCAAAAAGCAAAACACTGACTGAACAAATACAATTACATTTCATTTTTTATTCAAGATTTTGGTAATAAAAGTAATCAATAAGTCCGTATCAAATTTAATAACGTGGAACTGCACACACTCAATATAAATTGTAAGGTTTTGTTTAGACTATAAATGCTATTACTTTAATAATGTGTCTTTAGGCATTCTATGATAGGGTACCATCAAAAGAGAAGAAACAAACAAAAGTGGTGATAATCTAAGGATTCAATTATTATTGAATAGAATAAATTTGAGCTATCGAATACTTAAGAGAATCGCAGTATAATAATAAAATAGTAGCATTAAACTCATTTTAGTTTGGTAAATAGATTTGTGACAGTTATAACAAGAATACCTTATTGAGAGTCTAATAAATACCAAATTAATAGTTACATGCAACTAATAAGTGCTTCCAGGTTTTCAATGGTGGTCTAACATCAATAGGTTCATAATCTCAATTAAAAACTTAACAATCTCCACAACACCTACATTGATATTTATATATGCTGGTCACTCCACACAACATGGAATATATTTGCATATAGCTTTTATGATGGGAATATTCAACGACCGTTGTTATTCTAAATATGACAGGAAAACATTTTATTGTTAGGCAATAAGCATTATTAAGGCAACGTAGCATTTGATTTGACACATTCTATCTGATCACCGACTCTTGCTTAGATTCCTACGTGGCCCTTGATACGTACAGGTTTAGTAAGCCCAACGAATTATTTATGCCAGTTAAATATCGTGGTTAATTAAGACGCCTAGAGAAACATTACTTCGAGTCAAACGACTTCATGACAGTTGCAAAAATAAATAACTAACTAGTTTAAGTAAATTATATTTGCGACTGTTTCTGTATGGGTAAGCTTCTTTTATAACAAGGTGATCTTAAAGTGATGTATTCATTTTTTCCTCATGAGCCGAGCAATATGCGAAGTTGCATCGGTGTGGAGGTCAGCAAATTCAGTCAGTCAGCTGCAACGTAGGACCAGGCACATATATGCATCGGTCCAAGTTGCCATACGGCATTAGCACAACAAGATGAACACTGCATTCATAGAAGTAGTTAATTCGGTGGTGGTAATATATAGAAGGAAGATTGCATATGAGATAGTACAGGAAGAAAGAATTAGTTCGTAGAAAGAAGGATATGAAGTGATCTTAATCTCTCAGTTTGAAGGAAGACAAAGTGTGCATACATCGACGCCATTGTGATCGATTCTCAGCTATGTCACCCAGAGTCTCCAACTATTAGTTACGATAGTCACGCGGACCCCAACCAGGCAGTCTGCATCTACCAAAATGGCTCAGACCAGAAATTAGTGACTTTATATTGGTCCAGTGATACTCAAAATGGCATTTGGAGCCTAACAGGACCAAATTTGGATGGATATACTTTGGCAATACTTCATTAAACCTAAACATTACCATAAAAGGTAAGGTGTTATACATGTTACATGGAGTAGTGGAACTAGGACTCAGGTATTCATATAATTTGTCCTTCTCAGAACAGGTCTCGCGTTTAACTAATCCCAGAATACTGCACGTTTATTATTAGTAGTAATGTTCACATAAAGGATATATAAAGGTTGGAATCCGTTCAGAGGTGATTTGTATATCACATTCTTGGGATCGGTTGTACCTTTATTTATAAGTCCAGATGTAATAAATTTGGACTCGACCATTCGTGGAAAAGAAGACTTAATTCAAAAATCACCTTTTTCTTTCAAATATTTAATAAACTATCTTTTAAATCTAATGAAGCATTTTAATATGCAGAAACTTGTGATTACAACATCCGTGACTCTGTGTAATTAGTGAAACCATCTCATTCTAAATCTTAAATGTTTAGTCGTTTTTATTACTAGCTGATGCTACCTTACATTTAGAACTGACTGACTGACCTATAGTAGTAAACATTGCTTTTGTTGTTCCGTGCTCTCTGCTTTTGTTTTATTTTCTATAGTTGTAGATGATTATAATCAATTCGTTATAGGGCGGGAAATGGTTTTAAATAAATTGTCCATACATCAACGGAAAGTCTACTTAAAAAGAATTAAACGCTACCGGTTGAACACTTTAATTGCTGCAATACATGTGAAAAATGTTCTACCTAATCAATTTTTGAACTAGAAAACTTAAAACAATCTAATATTCCATATATCTTGTACATTTATTAGTACTATCTATATCAAATTGATCATGCCTGTAATCTAGCATGAATGCTGTAATTATTATTTTTAGAATATATTATTATTATTATTATTTGATGGAAATTGTTAACCAGTGAATTCACCCATAAAACACAAATGTCAGCGGTTTTGGAACTACAAATGCGTAACCTTCCAGTGACGTACATATTGAGTAGTGTGTGTGATGTTTATATTCAATGAACACAATTCGGTTGGTGTATGTAAGTTCATCACGATTCTGTTGATACAACCAGTTGAACTACGTTTATGCCCCCAGCGCACCAAGCTTAAACAAATAAACATTTGGTCGAAATGAAGCAGCAACTCTTCGATTATACTTATTAGATGATTATCACATGCACGGAAATCCAAAAACAATTTTAAACTGAATGGAAAAATTGCATTAGAAATATCTCAGAGGTTATAATTCTGTACAGACATGAACAAGAACTTATGAGGCAAGCATATCCACAGTTTAAGTAGAGTACTATGCAGTTAGATTTGTGGAAAAAACATACCTTCAATTTACGTCGTGCATTGAATTTCTTTAAGCACTCCACCGTCTCCTGACGATGCACAAGGGAAGCGACACGTTCTCGTTGCTATCAAGGAAAGAAATTAGAATTTGATAAGTTGGTTGACAGAAACGGGACGTAAAAGCGATAGGAAGTAGTACTATACAAATCATCAGTGGGGTTAATGAGTTAATTAAAATGGTCTCCGTATTATTTTCATCAATGGCGAATTGTTATTCAGTACATTCAGAGATAAGTGGCAAATTTTTAGATAATCGGACTAGCAATTCTAGAATAATTCGTGAAGATGGGTTTAAAGATATGGTAGGAATCCATTTATATATACTTTACTCATTACAAAAGATTGTTTGTTCGGGTCCATTTTAATTTAGCAAAGTTACTAACAAAAAGCTAAATTTAGGCATGACGTTAGAGTATTACTATACCGTAACTTATTTAGCCGATTTATTCATCATAAAAATTGAGAAAAGTAGACCGTGAATCTTTGTCTTCGCGTACTTGATGCACTCACCTAAAGAAACCGATTACCCAGACCTTTCTGGAATACGTTCTTCATAGATTTGAAAGTCTTAAAAATGACACGTTAATGGCTCAAGCTTGATATATAATTAAAACATAACAATGTACATGTAGGATAGTCAAATTTTCGAATATACCGAAGGTAACATAATCTGTGGTTAATAGGTGATGAGAACAACGCAATCTTCTCGAGTTGTGTAAGTGTTAGTTCAACGGAACATTATTAAAATGTTTTAAATTAAGAGTTCATATTAGTGTTTCCAAAAATAACTGTTAAGGCGTGCACGCACGCGTAAAAGATAAGAAAACAATGTATAAATATAAACGTAACCAGAGTAGAGAAGATGTACGTTTAAAACGTGACAATCATGTGATGTACTACAAAGTAAATAAACCAATTCTAAGATTATCATTAAAAAAAGCTAATCATTAGTAGTTGTGAGACTTAGACAAGTTACAGCACATAACCATTTTCCAGTTGGTTTGTAAACATTTTTAAAACCGCTGATAGAAAGGTCTAACATGTATGATACGTTCATATGAACGAATTTATTCACAAACGAACGAGTCATAGATGTGATCTAAACGTTTATTAGAGCAAGTAAACAATGATTAAAAAATCTCGATTTTCTCGGATTATTGGGCTTTAGAGTAAATGTTGTCTGAAAATACGAAAGTTTCGATGATACAAATTCACTACGAGATGAGCGATTACTTAGCCATTTATTTATTTGAACACATAAACATTGGTACAAAGGGTCACCAAATACATATGCGCCACACAAGTCACTCGACTTGTGTGTGGGCTGTGGTACTACCCTGGTGCCCAGACCGAAGCAGGTGGTTTTCTTAGGGGGCCATACAGGGAGCCTTCGACCCAAAGGGCTGATCCATAAGGCAGTGGAGCAACGTCAGGAGATGCAGTCCCACGGTAGTCGGTGGCCAACGATTGGTTCATACGTCATTTGTGCACCATTGGTTTGGAATCAGGGTTTCCCAACTCCCTTAGGTGGACTGTGTCCACCGGCCCGGTTAAAGCGCCGCACATTCGCTTTTCGTCCTCTCAATTTCGTAAACAACACCCACGAGATATGTAAACTAAGTGTTAACTGTTTGAAACTATTAAGTCATACGTTGTGCTTTTCAATTAAATTTACATAGAAATTTAACATACTCCACTATCGATATAGTCTTTTACAGTTGAAGAATCATAGATGACTATCCAATAGCTATGTATTACATTTCCGACGTTTGATCTTACGGTGAAAATCTGGTAAAATACAAGATTTCGGATATCGCTAATTCAGAAGAAAATGATCTAAGTTAGAATTGAACATTATAAAGATACTTCAGTTACTGGAGGGCGCCAGAGCAGGATATGAATTATTACTTAATTTTCCTAAGGCCCTGGGAGTATCAATACTTTGAAATTTCTTTACTTCTCTTAACTGAAAGTTACTAATGAAAGTTGAAAAATAGTGGAAGGGCACATGCACGAAGAGAAATTATAGAGGAATTTCAGTAAAATTTCTGTTATCAAAATCCAGTTGAGTCTGAAATGTTTAGATAAAGCGACTGAAGCATAAAGTCATTGACTTTCTCCATTAATAACTTTATTATATTCACCAAAGATGGAGCACAAACTTAACATATAAGTTAAAAAATTAAAGGGGAACAGGGTGATGGAAAATTTTGAATTTATGAAAATCAAATAAATAGCTCATAGAAGCACAATCAAATCATATGGAGTATTTCAAAAAGCTTATCAACAAGACTAATATTTCATAATTAAAAACACACTGAAAAATATTCCACGATATTTAAAAGTAGCATTTAAATTTGAAAATCGATTCGGATATAAACTTAAACATGTTAATTTCATGTACAAACTGATATCCATAATGTGCAGCGAAGATGTTTCAATTCAAGGCTATGAAATACACTTCCGTGAAGAGAAACTATATTAATTAACCGGTTGAACAGGAGTACAGAAATGAAAAAGGAAACATTTCACTCAAAACTGCTAGGAGTATTTGCATAATTGTAGGATGAACAACTTTTAGACAGGGGAAGGGCGGCCAGGAAATGAAAAAAAAACTAGGATGGTACCTAAGTGAAAAGATTGCATAAAAACGTAGTAAAAATTTATAAAACCGGAATTTTACAAGCAACTAAAATGGCTGAAATATCGACAGGGTGCATTAACCTAGGAAGCGACTGACAATTCGTTAGATAATTTCATGATACTTGTAATATAACACTAAGTTACGTAAGTAAATAGAACTTCACAATATTATAAATCAACCATCAAAACAGAAATATTTAATACCTTATTACTGAGACTAGTTTAGTTTAAATCAAATCGCAACATCAGAGATAAGAAGATGGAAAAATAAACAAAAGAATGATCTTGGATACCTAGCCTGGTGTATGACCTGGTGGTGTTCTCGTGACTTTTGGGATGCCTGATCTGTCAAGGGCGATGGGACAATGCATGACAGTACTGTTGTGTGTTAGGTTGGTGGACATGGAGGGTCCACCTAGGGGAGTTGGGAAACCCTGATTCCAAACCAACGGTGCGCATGGGCTCCAGGATCCTCAGGGAACAGATGACTTATGAACCAAATGTTGGACACTGGCTACCATGGGACTGCATCTCCTGTGACGTTGCTCCACTGCTTTATGGACCAGCTCTTTACATCGAAGTCTCCCTAAGAAAACCACCTGCTTTGGTCTGAGCACTAGGGTAGTACCACAGCCCACACACAAGTCGAGTGACTTGTGTTGCGCATATGTATTTGGTGACCCTTTGTACCAATATTTCTGGTTAAGGAACTGACTATGTTGTTTACAAAGGTCTGGGAGCTAGAGTGTACCAATGTCATGGAGTGAGTGGATAGTTCTCCCAATCTTTAAAAAGGGTTCACGTTGTTCCTGCAACAACTATTTAGGGGTAAGTCTACTTCCGATTGCGTCCAAGCTGTTGGCTTCCGTCATACTTCGTAGGTTGTTCAAAACCCGGGAAAGATTGACTCGCGAGGAGCAGGCTGGTTTTCGTTCTGGTCGAGGATGTATTGATCATATCTTCACCCTCCGCCAAGTGTTAGAGTATGCGGATGATATTATCTTACTGTGCAATAATGATCAAGCTATGCGATCCGCACTTAATCAATTGGCGATTAGTGTGCGTAGGTATGGTATGTGCTTTGAACCTTCCATGTGCAAAGTATTTTTACAAGACTGGCAGGACCCTGATCCTGCACTTTTTTAATGGGGGGATTCTTTCTGGTTGTACGTTTGCCAACTGAACTGCTTCTCCCATTATTATTCCACTACCATACACAAATTTCTGTTCGCTATTGTTCCCCTTTTTCTTATACGCACCTTACATTCTCTGTCTCTTCCTATTCTCAATGTTATCACAGCCCATACACAGATCAAGTGACTTGTGTGGCGCATATGTATTTAGTGCTCCTTTGTACTAATATTTATGTGTTCAAATAAATAAATAAACAAGATAGCGAACTTATAATTCATTATAGACATTCCTCCTGACTCATGGCAAGCCGTTGCTATTACATGAAACAGACTTCTAAAATCTTACACAGAAGCTGTGGCTTAGTTTGATTTATGTATCCTAAATCGCATGGAAAAACTCTTGGTAAAACTACCAACTACGCCATTGTGGTCGATTCTGAGCCATGTCACCCAGAGTCTCCAACTATTAGTTACGATAGCCGCGCGGATCCCAACCAAGTAGTCTGCATCTACCAACGTGGCTCAGATTAGAATTTAGTGACTTCAAGGACTGAAACCACGTTTTGGCTTGACCCCCTCTGATTTTCTTACAACCATCCCCAACAGTATTCAGCATTGCTCGTTGTGGTAATCGCTGTTCAGGTATACTTAACATTCGGTTCATCCATCTCAATCGACGAAGATTCACAACTTCACCTAATACCCTGTATCTAACCTCACTATTACTTACCCGGTAATCCCAGATGTGAGCAATACTTCTGTGACATCTGTGATCAAATACTATCAGAGTCTAGACATATATTCTATAATGAGTGACAGTCTTTTATCCGGCTTCTCCAACGATGACTGATGGCAATATAATCTATTTCAGTCCATCGTTTCAGCCTTATTAATAAAGTTAAACATTTTCCACAAGTGTATATCATTCACTCATGTAGCGAGATATATAAGAACATATATTCATATAAGTGGATTTGTTTTGAGTTTCTTATTTCTACATGTTTATAATACCTTGTTCGTAACTCATTTACCAGGTACTTGGGTATGAGGAACACTGAGTGTGAGTGTTAATCATACTATCCGATTTCCCAAACAAAGTTGAACAGGGTTTGGACGTGGGAACTAGTGGTTGAAAGTTGGATGTCTTAATCAATAAGCCACTGCTCCACTTTTTGAGTTTCGTGTCAAGAGTGAAACCGACACCTACAGACTACTATACAAACAAAGACCGAGTATGAATATACATCAGACATATTAATGAAAAATTTCATAAAAATCAACTGTTATAAAACAAAAATATGGGCAAGTGAATTCAATGTAATCAAAAGAAGGATAAAATCTCGTAAATAACTTTCTCTTTCCCATTCCTGTATTCACTTCACTTTCCCTTAATTTTTTTCCAATCAAAACACTCGTATGTAAATAATATAAAAATAAGCAGAGGATAAAACATTCTAGTCGATATTGAGGTCATGGCCAAGCTTCCATTTAACAACAATACCCACAGTAGTAATAATAATAATAATAATAATAATAATAATAATAATAATAATAATAATAATAATAGAAACAATGACACTGATAATGATGAGCACAGGTTGAAGTGAATAGACTATCGATCTGATGCAAGGAAAGTGATTGAATTATATCGAAATATCATCACGGGTTTTATTGCCTTTTAACTGATCCATATTAAAACGAAAACATAAGTGCTCTTATCTATTCGTAAATTCACCATACATGAAGATGAATGATGGTTGTTTTGGTGCAAACTAAAAAAATAAATACTAATTATAGAATTTACTCTTGTCAATTGATGATATGATGAAGGGTAGTTGTGTGGACTGTGTGCAGAATTCTGATTAAATATATGATTGAACACCAAATTATTATGAGTTAAGTTAAAGAACAAAAATATAGTCATTTAAAATTAAATGGAAACTGTTGAATTAATCTAAGGAAAAAGAGGAAATAGTTTACCAAGAACTCAAAACGCACTACTATTTATAACGCGCATAGTGTCAAAGCGAATGATCATGTTAGATTTCGTAAACACACAAAAGCAAACAAAAGTATAGAATTTTATTACTTATAAAAAGTATTATAGGCAAGTCATGAAACAGTTATATCATGGTATAAAAAAGCGAATATACATTCTTCACTGAACCAAAATACCGTATTCCATCTTCCGATATTTAAAACAAATAAAAATATCATTAACTTTATAAACTTTATATTAAAGAATGACAGCATTAGTGTGGTGAATGACTGACTTTCAGTACAAACTAAGAATGATATTTTAATGGTAGAAATTATCAAGAGGTCCGGATTGTTTTTAAATGGGATTCACTTTTAGAAACTCAGTAGAACGAAGCAAATTAAACAATAAGTAGGATGAACAGTGGCTTTTCCTCAATGTTCTACTCAGGATGACAGAGTACATCAAAGTGGATTTTCGTGTAATACAAATTATACAAATTCCATTCATAACAGTTGATGCATAGCCTTTATGTAAATAAATCTACTTGTTTCAAAAAAGGGAAGCTTACAATCCTCTGATGTGTTCTATCGTTAATAACTGTTAAGGAGTATCATGAAAGGACAGAGCGAATTGTTAAGTTTTGTGACCATTTCTGTACGTCGAGAACAGATGGGAAAACCATAAGCTAAACAAGTCTATTATCAAAGTAATAATTTGTGCAAAGCAAAAGAAACTGAAACGAGAACTAAAATAATACGAAATCACGTGACACCGGAGATCGTGTTAAATTTTTTTTTAACGTAAGAGCATGTAATCCATTATTTAATGCCGAAAAGTAATGACATTTTAAAATATATGTTAATTGGAGCTTACATCTAAGGTCTGGAATGTGAAATTAATTAAAGATAAAAACGAGAGTGAAATCTCTGGTAAATAACAAGCGGTAAAAGACAATACATTTAAAATAAAACAATCAATGAGAGAAAAAGACTTTTCATGTACTTTATCGTCGTTCGCAAATACTATGACTAGAAAAGGAACAAATTACTCCATTATGGTAGAAGTATTAGGTATTAATAACAGATAGCATTGTTTGACCACAAAGGATACATGGATATCCATGAGAAATACTTCAGCACGGATATAATATAAAGATTAGAAATAATATAATTGTATGTATATATTATACAATAATGTGAAGTCCAGAGCATATTTGTTCTAGTAACACGGTTATTTGAAGTGTTTATAGGAAGGTCTGTCTTTTCCATAAATATACTTAAACACAAACATCTGTGATTCAGAATCTCTTGTGTTAGAAAACAGGTCCTCACTACTCTGAGAATTAATTACACAATTTAACTGGTTCACAGTTGAAGTGATTACCTCTAGTGAGATATAACAAGAAAAGAAGAATCTCAACACAGAGAAATATTATTTTAGAAATATATATTCATTGGGAAATCAGTGAAACTAAGTTTGAAATCGTTAACGTAAAGTCAGTGTATCCAAAATGAAATCGCTTAGTACCAAGACAATTTGATGGAAATACTAATGAAAGTGTGTGAAATCGGATATGCGGGAGATGCATTGGCGGATAATGTTTGCATAGTATGATTTTAGCTTTCGAAACATACATACTAACGGTTAATACTGTTGGATCTACAATCGAATAGCTATTGAAATGTAGGAACTCAGGAAATTTTTATAAGTAAGAAGAAAGATACCTAAACAAGTTTAGTGAGGATCTTGTGTGAGTGATGAAAATTAAACATTAACGTGTTTAGCATTTTTATTAGATATTTCATGGTATGTAAATTCCTTAGGGTGAATTTACATAAATAAACAGTTGTCTATATGTATCAGATATAACGTCATAGTCACTCTGATATTAAATACAAATAAGCAGTGAATCTTACTGAATGATTGCACACTAAGATAGTAGTACGCAGGTACCACTGAAAACTATTGATTACAATGAGCTGACTTACTGCCCTTGTCGTAATACATCAAGGTTTTAAGACTAAACAAGAACCAAACACAAAAACAAACAATTCAAACTCCACTAAACATTTGTTTTCATAACGTACACAAATCCATGGATGCTTGAGAGCTTCTGCAGCTGTGATTCGCCTTGCAGGACTGACTGTTAGCATTAGGTTGATTAAATTCTTAGCTTCAGGGGTAACTGTATCCCATTCTGGTGAAGGATACTGAAAAAATACAGAGATCGAAGAACAAAAAACAATTTTATAAACAAAACATTTTCATGAAATAAAAATTAAAAAACTGAAAAATCACACCTACTTACAGAATGGGATATTGAGATTTCCAAGGAAACTATTGCCTAATATAAATCGATATTTTACAGATAAAATTTTCTTTTGTAGAATTAAAGAGGAGGTGAACAACCTGGGGTGAGGTAAGGTAGAGCATTTCCAAAATACACCATGGGAAATTACTCAAACTATTTCTTACAATAAAAAGTAACACCATCTAAAAATGGTGAAAAACCAATATCTATAAATAAGTAATTAAGAACATTTTGAATGATCCCTACAAATAGCTCGAAACTAGACCGTAAACCGATTATCAGTATACTTAGATTGTGATCAGCAGTGAAATCTGGGATATGCACTTCGTTTAAAAAGATGCAAGTGTTTCGTTAAAATAAATACCCAGCTTCCAATATTTTTTCATTTAAAAGAACAATATTGCTTTTATCCATAAAGATAGTGAAAGAAGGAATTTGGTCTTGATATCAGTTGGGGTGACACGAATATATTAGTCCATCATATTCTTCTACATCTTGGGTTTTAATGCTATACTATGCTTCTTATTATCGGATTTCATTTATCCTTATGAATGTCCTCTATGTTTGAACTTTCACTATCACTGTTACTATAACTATTTGGGCCTTTTATTATTTTCATTTCGAAAATTTTTTAGCTGTGTTGATGTGGGACGGATGGCTCATGAACTAACGTGAACGGTAAGCCGGGTAGTAGAGATCGTGCTAATTACCAATCGACCGATACCCTCAAATCGATTACGAACTCCACAAGGAAACACAGCACAATTACTCTTGGATGGGAAAACAACAAAAAATTGATAAAAGTGGTGCATGTAGTGTACGGGGTTACTCTTTAGGGGGCAAACTTCAACTGGTTGCAAAAACAGCTATTCTAGCCCCGATAGTTGTGTTGTGCTCCGATGTGGCTTGTTTCTCGCTAGAAGGGCCTACTAGGCTTTACCAACCAACTTGTTTTTTTCATGTGAAGTGTAAGAACTTCGACAGACATACATGTGTCAGGTCTTATTTAGAGGCAATATTCATAGCATTTAATGATTAGTAAGAGGAAATTGTTATAGTACAATGAGTTATTCGCATGTCTCTTGATAATACGTACATAATTCATTATTTTAACCCGAAATAACAATTGGCTTCTACCAACATTTTAAACATAATTTTAGCCAGATGTAGCTACCTTTCTCACCTTTTTAGACCAAATGATCATTCTCCTATATTTTTTAATTAACCATCTGTCAAGAAATAAGCATCATAACTGAATCAAAGTCAAAAACCGTAATTTTAATGAAGATTTAAATAGTAAATCAAGGTACAATATAAACTAGATTACATGTAATATTTACCTAATTAGTCGTCACATGATGCAAAGATAGGAACCAAAAAAATAATGAAATTGATAAAAAATAACATATTTTTATTTACGTACATCATATGCTCCCGATTTGATTTGACTGTACAATCGATTTTGATCTTCATCCCAGAATGGTGGATATCCAACAAGAAGGATGTAAAGAATAACACCTGGAGATTGAAAACATTACGAGTTGAATAGATTACTTTTTAAGTGAGCAGAAGTGCTTGATAATTCCTTTTTTAATTAACAGAAACAAGTTAATTGAGAAAAAGGAACAATTGGGGTCATATCCATTCAGTGATTTGTTTGTTAAAATATAAAATTGACTCGGCATTAATAAAAAAATACATACTTGGTTCGACAAAATTTTTCAGCATAGACAATTTGAATGAAAATGATTTTATAATCATAATATGTGGGTAAGTGAGTTTACTTGTGAGTGTTACATTAATCGTCAATAAAATATTAGCATTTCTCTAGAAACCGAGAATCCAAATAAGACTGATGACTCAACAGAAAGAAAATGTGAGATAACAGGATTTTTCTAAGTAACACTATATACTACGGTTGTTTTATGAACTGGCAGAACTATTTTCATATAGAACAATACGAAGATGCTTACCAACCGAAAGACCGACTCAGAATTTACAAGAATTCAGTTGTTTACATCTTAAGCTTATATACCACTATCCCTAAAACTTTTGCATGTTCGAGTGAAATCTGGTATGTTAATAATAAGCGACATAAAATAGGAGAGGAGGTCAGAATTGTTGCGCCGGAACAACGCAAAATGCAAGCTATTCCTTAAATAATTGTAAAAGCAGGTTACACGTCTTGATACAGTGAGATATAAATCGGTTAGAAAATAGATAACCAAATACGTTTACAATACACAAGATAACTATAAATAATTACTTCGTACACATATATCTGCCTACAGGAAATAATTCGGCTCCAGGATTTTAAGTTACAGAAGATTCTACTAATCAAACAGCAGTTTAAAATACTCTACAACTGATACGATTTAAAACTGTTCAAGAGATAACGAAACATCAAAATAAAAAAATTTGTTAACATTTCCAAACATTTCTGGGAAAACATGAAATTTCTATTACACGTTGAAAAGAGAAATTGCAGACTGTATATTTTGTGATAAGATTACTGTGTAGTGAATACTCCAGATAGCAAGTCATAAATACCAGAAAAAGAAAATATATGGATAACCATAATAGCTTACCGCAAGCCCAGACGTCTACCGCTTTACCATATGGTTCTTTACGCAAAACCTCTGGAGAAAGATAACCAGGAGTGCCAGCAAAACCTATAATACGGAAAACGACACCAAATGTTTTAATTAATAAGACAGAAAAATATGAGTGTTGTTTGCTTTTAAAGCGTCGAAAATACTTCATAGTGGTCTATCATGCATTTTCTTCATTAACACCTCATTCAATTGTACGAGAACAGGAGGAATTAATTAATGATAAATGTAGGTGAAGAATATCGACATTTCTCGAAATTATGCTGATAATTTATCACAGAAATAATCGGAAATATTCTAAAAAAAAGTAAAATGGCAAGAAGGGATGTGGCGTGGATTGCATGGAAGTTATGAACAAGAATTAAGTGATGAATTATTTTCTTCTAATCCAGTAAAAATACTGTGAAGATTTGAATTGTTCCAAGCCTGTTTCCAGAACAATGTTTTTTTAGTTGACGGTAATACAATTCTTAATTCTTTTTGCTTTCGTAAATGAATCTGACCTTTATGTTGTTAAGTGGTTAATTTCTTCAGGATTACTGCAGTTCGACAAGTATACAATTTTTTTAATATGGCAAGACAGATGGTGGGTTGTTATCTTGGTTTAAAACTAATAAACAAAGTATGATAACATTCTAAACAATAATAAAATCATAGCAATCAGAAATGTTGATTAACGTTAGCATACAAAACACCAAATAATAGTAAATGTGGCATAAGATTTTCTTAGTACTAAGTCTTTAACAGATAAGATAAACTTTATGATGGCGTTAACAGTTGTAGTTGTCTGCTTGACGAGTGATTTTGTTAGGGGAAGATATTACCATTCATTTGGAAAGCTGATAAACATAGTTTTCTAGAAAATAATTATCTTTAATACTTTTCAGGTTAAGATGGCAAGAGAAAAACCAAATAAAGCGCTGTAAACTGAAACACTGAATAAATTTTAGTTCAACTAGGTATGTATACTTAGATCTTAGTGAACGACTTAGTGATATGGTTTAGCTATGAAAACTGATTTAGGTGCAGCGAAGTCTGAATCTACAACTCATTGGTTGAGAGTTAGGTGTTTTGACTTCTAGATAATCACATTCAAATAGATAAAATGAGAAAATACTTAGTTGAGACCAATGTAACAGCCACATATAGGATTTAAATACACTTTTTTACTTTCCATTTCATATCTGCATATTTTCAAACATAGATCATTTCTCTCATACTGTTTTTAATAAACACTGGACGTCATACGTATATGTATTAATTTATATTCACTAAGTCGTTGGTCTATTAATTTCTCTCTCTCCTGCCATGTTCTCGCGACAACTGAAATTGCTTTTGTAACGTTACTTATAAAAGGTTCCGTTCACACATTGCTGACGAGAACTTTCTCGCGAATTGAGTGATAACTATATCAACAGTTCGATGTTACACATCAGACCAGTTGGGTTTCTGAATATGAGGTATGTTCATCAGGTCATGTAAGGTAAAGATGGAAAAGAATTATGTAAATACACAACCATATTTTACACCAGTTAATAAAAGTGAATGATGACTAGTTGTATATCTGCACCAAATATACCTGAGAAGTATGTAAAAGTAACTTTCAAAAACGTTTTCCAACTGGTCCAAGAATACAACTCCACCTAGGGAAACAATTGTGCCCTTACTTCCGGAAACACCAGAATATTATGGGACTTTTAGCCATAGTTATGATTTAGAAATGCAAATGGTAACGACTTGGTCGGCACACGAATAATCCAAAAAAGAAAGTAGGCGTGATGTTTCCTGGATTTGACTCAACCTGAGCAGTAGTACGATAGAGATCAGAAGCCTGAATTCAACAAGCATAAAACACATGAAATCATTTATTGTACCTAACAACTACGATTTTGGATATTACAGTATACTGTAAATGACAGTAGTACTATTTATCTATGAGTCTTAAGCGTTTCACCTATTCTTTAATCTTGATATGTCACTGAGATGTTTTTCCCAGATATATTTTTACAAGTGACTAGTCAGATTTCCTGATTTCTTTATGAATACTTTTCCACACTCATTATTATCTGTACAGTCACACTGAATAGTCATTTGATTTATAAGTTGTCCAGGGTAACTGAATAAAGAGCTTATCTGATTGATTTCAATTCATATAAAAATGAAAGGACAAGAATCGAATTTTGAAGTGACATTGGAGTGCCAAGCCATATGTGTAACATAAAATGAGGTAATTGATCGCTTTTATTCAAATCTTTCATATGAAAAGTTTTTATGGGTTTGAACCATGTGCTAGTGTAGTGTCGTTGAAATGTAGCTACAATGTATATTTATTCGAAAAAAAAGTTGTCACCGCAAATAATTTCTGATAAGATGTTTTACGTCTTTCTAAAGAACACAAATGAATCTGTTAATTTGTTGAATTTCCTTGAATTTCAGTAACAAAAATTGCATATATGATACTGTTGTCACTAGAGATGTGACAAACATAACTGTGAAGTTAGGTTCCACTCGGACCGTTCACTGTTTTCGCTACGAGTTTCATAAACATCTGTAAAAACTCACCTTTTGAGAGTTGCTGATCCTTTATTTTTCATAAGGTTATCTAAAATATCGATTAACTAATATCTTTAGTCGGTATGTAAAGGGATTAGAAGATCAACGGTGTACAGAGGATACCTAAGCTTAGTTATTAGGGAAGTCAGTCAGTCAGGTACAACATAGAACCAGGCACATATATGCATCGGTTCAAGTTGCCACAGCTCATTAGCACAACAAAATAAACACCAAATTCATAGAAGCAGTTACTACAATGGTAGTAAAAAAACATTTCATACAAGGGTATGATACAGGGAGAAAGAATTAGTTCGTAGAAAGGAAGGTATAAAGTTATTTTAATCTCAAGGTTTAGGGGAAGACAAAGAGTGTATACACCTACACCACAGTAATTGATCCTGACCCATATCACACAGGGTTTTTAGCTATTGGTTACGATAGTCGCGCTGACCCCAACCAAGTAGTCTGCATTTAGAGAAGTCTTAAAAATTCTGTACCGTCAATGGAGATCGATTGGTTTGTCGAATGGACAACGCTCTAATAAATCAGATATTTCTAAGTGGGTAGTACTTGACTAGTACTAGTATTTGACTAATTAAAGCATATATTTAAGAGAAAACGATAGATAATTGACAGTTAGGGATAAAAACCTTCTAACTAGACATGAAAACAAGAAGGTAAGGACCAGTGATTACGGTCGGATCAAAAGCGAAGGTCAACTCGATCAGTGAATTATGAACAAATTTATCACATAAACTCTTCAATAACGACTCATCGTCTATAACGCATCGAGACGAATTTAGAAAAAGGTAAAAGAAACAATTCCTTCATATAACAAAAAGAAAAGTTACTTCAAGGTAGATCCATCGTTGTTCTTAAGTTTACCATACAATTTACAATATTTATTTCAAAATACGAAATTTTAGAAAGCAAATAAGGCTAAGGTGGGAATTTATTTGCCTCTTATAGCAAAATGCTAACTTTGTGATGTAAAACATAAATGAAAGTGAGAAAAATATTTAACATACTAAACAGAAACGACAAACCGACTCTGTTAGTTTACTGTGAGGTATAGATACAATTAATCATAAGAATACTATCTACAGCATCAATATGTCCCCATCCACTTAAAAAAATGAAATAAGTACCGTTTATTCAATCACTTGAGTAGGATAATCAGTTCTCTTACTAAACATTAAATTTAAAAATATGCACTGAAAACGTAAGACTGAAATTTTGTTACTGTAAACGTATTTGTGTGAACTGAAGGAAAAAAATGTCTTTTTGTAATGAAATATATAAGCATAGTTGTTGAAAAATTTAACAAATGTATGTTTTTAAGAAAAACGTACCAAACCAAGCTGGTTGATCACCCTGAACTTCTATCGCCAGACCGAAATCCGCTAGTTTCACTGCAGCCCCCTTGGATTTACTAGCAAGTAACAAATTTTCTGGCTGTAAAACAAATTCAATTTTATGAAAAACCCACATATATTCGTTAAGTACAGGACAGCTGAAAGATTACTTAACAATGATTTATTGCTATCAGTTGCAACAAATCTAATAAACGTTTTTAGTGGAACCTGTCGATGTTGTTACATACGTGCTAAAATGTCTACTATAAAAAAAATGAACTTGGTTACAAAGCAAGGTGATCTGAAGGCTTGTAAAATGATGTCGTGAATAGTTAAGTGCACAGAAACGAGTTTCATTTTACACTACACTGATTCCAGAATTAATACTCATCATTTTATAACACATACGGTTACTTTCATATTATCCACAATCAGAGCCCATTATAACGTTCTAACGACATGGACAACAGAGTCAAACCTCTTCATGTTCTCTTATCTTCATTCCAATAAATGCTGTTGTCCGTGTATTGCTTTGTTTATTATTTGAGTCAGTTAAACTCAAGAACATTAATCATATACACAATAATTACACACGTAGAAATCGTTTTTTGTACCTAGTGAGTCTCTTAAATATAGGCATATAAATTAGAGGATGATAATAGTGATACAGACATCGTAATTTGTTAGGATTGTGACGTGGGGGAGGGATATCAGGTAGATGTTTCGTCGCACTCATAACACAAATAATAAATGATTAGAAAGTAATGTAAACGAAACTGAAAATCCGGAGAAATTATAATTTGTGAACGCACCAATCAAATGTAAGATAACAAGTCTTGGATTTTGCCTCGAACTCCATTCATTTATTTGATTAAATAGAATTTTGGTATTTTAGCTGATTTCAATTCATGACGAAAATCCTAAATCTAATTCCTAACCCTAGCTATCCACTGTAAATCATAATTCTAATTTCTCACACTACTTTATAATCCTCATTTAGTTCTAGTTAGTAGGTGGACATTCTCAAGGTCACTTTAGCATCATTCAAAAGCCGTCCATAAAATTCAGTGTCACCGAAAAGCCTTTGACAGATTACTTGGGATTTCTAATAAGCTATGGTTGAGTTTATCCGCCAAGTATATATATATATATATATATATATATATATATATATATATATATTCATCTACTACTCAGAATATAGAACAAAAATGTAATAACAAAATTATCCGCTGTCATCCTGAGAACAAAAGATTTGCAAAACATGTCTCTTAGAGAATTTTGGGCAATATATATTTCGTTAGGACGGGGTAGTAAAATTGTGACCGAATAGTGTGATGCATTAGGAAAATATTCATCATAAAATTTCACATAAATGATAAAATGTAATCATAATCATTTAGGATAAAAATTATGCCAAAAATATAAGTATAGAAACACCACCATAAAATAACACACTAAGACTTTTAATGGGCAATTTAGAGATCAAGTAGAAATTTATTGAGTCAAAGGGATTGAATGCCTTAAAGAATATCGATGTCCATAACACGTTACATAAGATTCAAAATCCAAGTAAATGTGGAACACGCGTGATTAATGATAATGAATGCTGATTGTAGTGATACACTGTGAAAACGTTACTACTAACCTTTAAATCTCGATGTACAATATTATTTTGATGACAATAATTCACACTTTCAATAATTTGCTGCATACAGTTACTGGAAGAAAAATAAGAAAGCGAGTCTTGGTTATTCGCAAGATTTAAAATTATGGTAACAATAACGATAACAAAGTCAACAGAAGCTGAATGAAATTTATAAACTATGGTCTTATGACTATGTGTAAGCATATTAATCAACAAAATTTGAATCAAGCTAGTAAACCAACAGTGATAGTATGGGAAACAAAAACAGTTAAGGAGAATAACATATGCAAAAAGGTACCTCTAAGTCCACTACGTATTCATTTCAGTAAACATTAAAGAAACTAACCTAGCATCCGCTTCACTGTAGAATTCTCGAGCAACAATGTCCTCGAAGAGTTCACCACCAGTTACCCTAAAAAGATTAATTTTAATACAATTATATGATGAAAACAAATAATTTAGAATACTAATAGGGTTATCATTATAGTGTAAATTTGATTAGTAGTACCAGCAGTCAACTAAGTCGTGAGTCCAAGCCTTGTCTTGCCTACAACGGTTTGAGCAATCGGATGAGATCGCTAGCTTTCCCACACACGCAAACAAAATCTCAAAACTTAGTAGATGAAAAAGTACTTGATTATTGAACTGCAGCAGCACACAAAAATATATGGAGGGAATACAATTCATCTAGTTTCAAACAGTAAATTTTTAGCTTTGAAATAATTTAAAACCTAAGAAATCACTGCATCAGCTCACCCAGTAAATAAACTATATACAGAACACAGGTGTGAAATATGAGCGTGGAAGTAGGAGGTTGGAGTATTTACGATAATACGTTGAGAAATCCGGTAATAAATGTGGGATCAAAACACAACTGCTAGGATCGGTACACAAGAGTTGTGATAGATGAGAACCTAAGATACAATTTGGCACTCAGTAATAATTAGTAAATGCACTTTATCATTTTTAATTAACAATTCTTATCCATGCTGTGAAATTATTCCTGAGACAGTAAATATATGGAGCCCACGTTTTGGATATCCTTGTCAGTCAGTCAGTAACAACGTGGAACTTCGTACGTACGTACATCAGTTCGAGTTGCCATACCACATCTGCACAGAGATTCAGTTATCGATTCAAATCCCATAGTGGTAGAGGTACTGAAAGTATAAGTAGAGATAGGGGACATTAAGGTTTGATGATGTTATTAAAGGAGTATAGTCCAGTGGAATAAATTGGGAAAGAAAATAAAGGACATGAAGAATTCAGAAGATTAGAATTTGAGAGAACACAAAGAGTGGATGCACCTGCGCCATTGCAAACGATTTTGAGCCATGTCATTCAAGGTCTCTAACCATCGGTTGCTATCATCTCGCCGTCCCCAACCAGGTAGTCTACACCTACCAACATGGCTCAGTCCACTTGTCAGTGACTTCATGGATTTGTGCCATGTTTTGGTCTGGCCACCCCTAGCTTTCTTCCAACCTATTCCTACACCACAAAACATCGCACGTCGGGGCAGTCGGTGGTCGGGCCTTGTAATTTCATTACTCTGCCAGCTTTAGTCTATACAGAAAATATCGACATAAGTCTGGCTACTTTGAATGCGTCTACCATTTGCTTTTATGAGCGAAGAAGTGATAAGTACGAATGATTATTGTACGAGTTTAACTGTTCGCGCGTTACATATGGAATAACAAGTCTGGTGTTAGTCCATTAACGGAGCACGAATGCCACAATTATTATCCAAACACAAGATCCCTAATTTTTCACTCTTTCCACTATGACATCGGCAAACTTCAACTCAGAATTAGCTGTCAAGATGTCACTTCCATCGAAAGCAACGAACATAATGCACTGACTTTACGAACGTCACTGATTCTAAGCTAATTCAGCAGATATCCTGTGTACATACCTGCGCTGCATCTCGAATAATAACATGCGACACATGAGATGTTAGCAATAGTAGTTTATTTGTTACCACAAGATCACTACCGATTTCCTTTGTGAGGAGATACAGCAAATGTTAGTTACTTCTTGGAAGCTATGTCAATCCACTAGCCTAAATGGGTGGATCCATGATCACTCGTGACTCCAAACTTACTCTGTAATCCTTATTGTGTGATGAACGTGGGGAAGCAGTTGTTTACTATTAATCAAATGAAAATTACTGTCAATATGAATTGTCTGTGAGGATTGTTATGCTGCAAATTCCGAAAACTCCGGTATAGGAACTAAAACAGAGAATCCATGGACACCATCTTGTAAACACAAAAGTCATTCTACCATACCTTCACGTTATACGTCAAGGTAGCAGGAAATCAGATGATCAACATGTCCTCATAATGCATATATATATATATATATATATATATATATATATATATATATATATATATATATATATATATATATATATATATATATATATAAATCACTTGTTTTTCGGATCATATTTAATACTAGTAACCAATTTGAAGATACAAAACTCACAAATCAAATACGAGGTAGTGAAACCCTTCGTCCTGAATGTCATCGTATAGGCGAACTAAAAATGAAGAATGATTATAAAATACCAACCTAAGAGGTAGATAAGAAGTACACGTACATACATGATAAATAGAGATGCGGCTTTGTGGTAAAACCACGTTAATTTCCACCTATAACCTGCAGCTTTAGACCCGAACTTTGCCTGTCTCACTTTGAGAAGCCATTTAGCATCAGTAGTTCTTCAACAAAACGTGTGGCTAAAAGTCATACTTTGAGATTGAGTTACATTTTTATCCTTTGACATTGAGCGTTCTAAACTACAAATGCCAATAATGAATTTATGTAATGTACTCGTCATTCGGTAATTTAGAAGTGATAGAGTTTGACATGCTATTCCATCCAATCGAGAATGGTTAATTGTTGTCATTGGCCCCTCTTTCTTATCTAACACTGACACCATTTACAGGTTGACCAAATATGTAGTCAGGTGAACTGATTACTTGCCAGTAGTTCTGAAGAGTCAGTGACTGACAAGTTTCCCTAAGGATTAAAATCACTCGGTTGAGTTTTTTTTGTTGATTGAACCAACCGATAATGGTGCGATACGTAGGTATATACAAAAGGGCGAATCTGGAACTTGATAGTCCAATAAACATCACCTTAGGACTATTAAATGGTTACCGAAAACGAACGAAATTCTAAAAGTATTTTTGAAGCATTTTTTTATGTGTGGTGGGGCTATCAAGTAAATGATGTTGATGCTAGGTGTAGTGTTCTGCACAAGTGGAGTAGGTTGAGTGATAAAGCTATGAACCTTCATCAACCAGGACGTGTGACGTAGACCTAATCACGACATATATTAACCAAGTCGACTAGATGATATGTTAGAAGAGGTTGAGGTGACCAACTCAAAACATGGAATTAGATCATAGATATTTTTCTCCTAAACCTGCGGTTTACAGGTGGATGTAGCATTCTTTGTTATAGTTCAAGAAACGACCGTTATAGGTGGCTCGAAATTAGGTGGTGTGATTTGAAGCTGATTACGGAGGTAAGGAGATTTACAACATACCTCCTCTTTTCGTCTTGAACAACCTTTGTCTTTTGTGCACTTTACCTTTTTTTACGACCGTTGTTAGCACATTTATTTCCATTTCTTGACTCAACCTGTTGAACTTTCTTGGATTGATAGCGAGAACTGTGATAACACGTCAGGATCAGCGCCTTGTCTGTCAGCCAGTGAACTATTTGGTATCTAATTAACTAAGACCACTCAAACTTGAAGTGCTGATTAGAAAATCCCCAGTGAGCAATGATTATTTGTAGTACTATAAAGAGGGGGATAGGCTGAACAATAAGACCCTAAAGAACATTTGACTTGAAAATCCCTTTGTTTCTAGCCTTCTAAAAATTGCATCTGTCTGTAGTTGAGGTCTTTCTAAATTTCACTTACCTAAAATAGGTTAGTAACGGAATACTTTAGGTGATAATATGGGACGGTTCGGATAGATTGACCACTGTGGCTTGATTATATTTTTAATCCTGTTTCATTTCGACAGCTAATAAGATGTTTGGTCATGTGATAACATGTTCAAGAAAGCACGACAATCGTAAGCAGCGTTAGTTTTTTCGTACTGAGTTCAAAGATAAACTAGTATACAAAGCTAGATTTCGCCACAATTGAAAATAAGTAGGGATATTTTTAAATGCAGTACCAGTTCAAAAATTAGTATTTTGGTGTTAGAAGTTATGGAGTTGGGAACGTTTTAGTGATAATGACGCTTCCATACTTCCTACTTCATTGATATTAATGAGTCATAGATCTCTGACTTACACAAACTTAGTAGAAAATCATCATAACCACAATTTCAGGAAGCAATTACGAATCTGATATATTGGACAAGACCTTGGTCCATCAATAAGTATTTCACTTATTTGAAGTACACAGAAAAGTAGAAGCACAACCAAGATATTTTATTTCACAAATTATTTGCATACTTATTTATTTGAACACAATTATTAGTACAAAGGGGTACCGAATACATATGCGCCACACAATTAACTTGATTTGTGTGCGGGCTATGATACTGCCCGGGTGCCGAAATTCGCATACTTAAACACTGAAAGGACGGACAGAAGTACTGGATTTATCTGAGAAATACATTCAAATAGCGAACTAGTATAACAAGCTGTAAAATAAGAATATCGGACTCGAAGACTTCAAGTGATGGAACTAAAACTATTATTTCTTAAAACGTTAGAGAACATGCAAACACGCTTACTCTAGTTGACAATTTCGAGAAGCCAACATAGCTTTTAAGCAAAAGACAGATAACACTTACCTATGTTTGGGTGCTTCAGAAGCCTGCATATTCTGGCCTCACGTTCCAACTTCTGCATGTCTGCAAACAAGATGTTGTTGTAGGTTATTTGTACGTTAAAACAAGTATGTAGGATGCTTATGAAAACATGACATAATTTGTTGGAATTAGGTACATAAATATTACGCTTGCAATACGCCAAGCCACTTGGATGAGTGCCTTGCGTCATTGGTTAAATAACCTAGGTCAAAAGCGTGTAAGATCTTAAATCGCATTAATAGGTTCATCCTCAACATGAATTTAAGCAAAAATATGACAATTATGAGATGGAGTTCTGGACAAATAAGCTAGTATTTTGGTAGTCTCTAAAAGAAAAATAATGATATTCAAAAGAAATAACGTTCGAATCAGGATGGCTTACATACATCAAGCGATTTACGGTCTGACAATCTAAACTAAGATCATTTATCTATACCAGACATTGAAGCCAATGCAACACGAGTCGCTATGACAATTGGTTGGTGCAGCATGGGCAAAATCGAACATCACATAGCAAGGACAGGCAAGACCTAAAGTAATTGCTAATCAAAATAAGAGCTGGAGTGGAATTACTTAGGACACAAGTTTTGGGCATTTAGTGTAAATAATTTGTATTACTAAGCATGCTGAGAAGTCGATTATAAATTATATTATGGATTGCAGAACTAAAGGGGTAGAGATGCAAGCGGATGACCTAGATATATGTGAGCATAATTGTATGCACCCATAACACAAATATTTTTCATTTCATTAGGGTAATCACCATACTAATCACCGGATATAAACAATGGGATTATTAAATCCTGAGGGAATAAAGTAACAAGGTTGATAGCTCATGAAGAGCCCGAAGAAACCAATAAAAAACCCGACAAACAAAAACCTACCTCTGGTTGACAGACGTTTTGTATTTATGATCTTAGCGGCAAATTCTAGACCTGTTGAGAGCTGAATGCATTTTCGAACTATTGAGAAAGCTCCACTGAGAATACAAGAAAACTTATCGTTATAATGCGATCAACGGACATTAAGTAAGATAAACTAACTTAATTTATTTCGAGACTTACCGCCCTACTTCTTCTTTCAAACTATACAAATCAGAAAACTTTGGGAGAACAGTAGCCATCTTCAGAGAACTAACCAAAAACGCCTCCCAATTATAGTCCAAACAAACAAAATCCAAGACCGAACATACAGTTTCAATAATATAAGCCAATTACTTTTGCTTTATTGTGATACTAAAAGGTTTGCAATTAAAGCAGGAACGCTGCCATACTTATGCGTCATCAACAACGAATTTTGGTGTTCATTATGTAGGGATTAGAAAAACTGTAACTAAGCTTCAAAAGTTATTTGCACTTTTAACTTTAGGTTAAAATCAGAAGGTAGGCTCGATTAGTGGTGTGACTCAAGAAATTCTCCAGAACAAATAGTTTAGTAAATCTTCGACCCTAGTCCTACTGAACACACCACTGGCTGAATGCTATCGGTCAAACACTTGTATCAAATGGCGTTTGAGTAAGCCATGCTTTGCTTTTTCACGACATATAGCGAGGGTGATTCAAAGCATCAATCGCTATTCAAATATATAGTCCCAACCCTTCATTATCGGTTTTTGGTTTTACTGTTTCACGTGAATCTTGTGTAAGGAGAGGCATCAGACAATGTTCCAAGGAAGCACTTTCTATCTATAATATCCATTAGAGTCTAACTTAAAGGTGCTGATAAGGGTGCCATCATTGCTTTAATTTTGTATCTATACAAGGGGCCAAATATTCTTCTTCAACTGGGTTCATTTTCCTGGACAATACCGTTTCAATGGTTCGTTTCCTGCAAGTTTTTTTCCATGAGACAAATTATTATTCTCAGAGTGGTGGATTAACAGTGAGCGGGAAATTAGTCAAACTTTTGGACACGAGTTGTTATTTTGAAGATGTCATAACAAACGAAATTTCATTTAATTGACAGAAATTATCATGATAACGAGATCCTGATAAGCTTGTATTTTTAGACACTCAGATTTCAAAGTAGTAATTATGTTGCACAGAAAAGATTGGGTTTGAACTTGTAAATGTAGCTGTCGAACCGGTTCTCTTGATTTATTTGCCTGAAACAAAGATTGGTGTAAAGGAAAGAGAACTCTAAAAATGTCTCAACAGTGTTTTTGTTGGACAGTACTTTCATTTACTTGTTTCTTCCCCCTGGCTTAAAATGATAAGAGAAAGATATAGTGCTGTTTTACAGTTGAGATCACAGTTTTTATTAGATATCTTGGCGTCATGTTACTAGTTTTCAGATACCTACTGTGACAGGCTTCTGGAAAAGAGACCTCTTTTGGAAGTATGAAGGAAGACATATGGTGGAGTATCAAGTTTCGCTACGTATTTTCTATGTTCTATCATGATATGTATTACAAATGGACAAGTGGTCTAAAGAATGTGAGTGGCCCGTTCAGTAATATGTAATTTCATCATAATCTTGAAGATGCCACAGGTATTTGGAGTTTGACAACACTTTAACCAGTAACACCTTCCAATATGAAGCGTACCCACCAAGTGAAATCAAAAGACAGAAGCGAGGAGGTTCGAAGATGTAGTTGATAGGCTATCAATATATTGAGGATTGTCTGATCTAATCTGGCTAGCGATTGCAGTAGATGTTTAGCACGGCGTTTCCACTCGTGATCTGGTGCAGATGCATGACCGAGCGCCTTCAGCTAGATGAATCCATTGAAACTAATGTGGTCAGCATCCAATGTCCAGAACTTACAGGGCTATTTATTTTGGGGATTTATTTACCGCTACAGATCACTCCATCCTGGTAAGTTAGTGATGACCCCAAGACGTTTCCAGCCAGAAGTTTAAACCCAACGAGTTTGTCGTTGGCAAACACTTCTGATAGCTTGTTATGCTAAGCAGCGTTAGGTCGTCCTTCCTTAGTAGAAGGGACCATGAATTATAGTATAGTGAGAAAAAGATGTGCAATGAAAATTTCGTTTCCTCGCAAACTTTGTCGTTCTTTTTATCGTCTTTTCCAGCCGTTCTGGAAAAGAATAAAAGAATATGTAAGTGCATGTCGAAATTAACTCGTACGCGCTTTAAGACACAAAGTGGGTGAAGAAAGGAAAATAAACTCACGTACATGTGATAGCGTAAAAGCGATTTTTGCAAAATGTTTTCTTGTTTTTAAAAATAATAAATAGATATAAATATAAGCATATAAAAATTTATTTTTTATATTATATATGATACTATGAAAAATCGAGATGAAGCAAAATGTTAACTCGTATCTAACGTGCAATGATCTTTTAAATGTTCCGGAAATCTTACTCTTCCTCCAGAACGCGTTGTTTTAAGTTTATTTTCTGATACCGCCGAAGTGTCAACGTGTGTGTTGGCTGTCGATTGAGGTATTGTAAGTTCCGGAGTCGTGTCGTGCGATTGTACTGAAGAGAAAGCGACGTGAATATGATTTCCTTGTAAATACGCTGCTTTGAGGCAATCGATGCTGATGCTTTCGTTGGTTCCGTTCTTATCGATTATATAATACTTAGCTTCGCGTTGAAGAACTTTGAAAAGTCCTTCGTATGCTGATTCGAGAGGTCGTCGATGTGAATCTCGACGTACGAAGACGTGTGTACTGTATCGTGAGTCAGGTTGAATGAAAAAATCAGTTGATTGCGGTCAAGTGGAAACAGGTTTAACTGAACGCATTGCATTTGTAAGCCTGTTCGTTTAGAAGGTTAGATCCACGTTCATCGAAGAGGATGAAGGATCCACGAATTCTCCTGGAAGTCGAAGGGTCGTATCATAAACGAGTTGAAACGCAGTGTATACAATGTCAGCTTTCTCTGCATTGCGAATACCTAGCAAGACGAGTGGAAGAGAGTCAGTCCACTGAGAAATGTTTGCGGCTGATAGTGACGCTTTTAGTTGTCAGTGGAAACGTTCTACTAACCCGTTTGCTCGTGGGTGGTAGATCGTCGTTCGGAAGGGAGTGATTCTTAATATTGCGGCCAGACAACGGAAAAGTTCGATCTGTACTGATTGTTGTTGGGCAGCCGAAGTTTGCTACCCATCGTTCGACGAAGGCGCGGGCCACTGATTCAGCAGTGATGTCCTTGATGGGTACTGCTTCTGGCCATCGAGTGAAACGGTCTACTCAGGTTAAGAGATTAGAGTATCCGTTTGAATCTGGTAAAGGTCTTACCAAGTCCAAATGAATATGGTTGAAACGAGCGCCAGGTGTTTTGAAAGAGCCTAAGGGACGGTTGTTGTGTCTGATAACCTTAGATTTTTGGCAGCTTATACAGGAGCGTGCCCACTCTCCCACGTCTTTATTCATACCAGGCCAGCAGAACCGTTCTGCAATAAGCTTGATGGTTGCACGCACACCCGGATGAGAAAGTTCGTGCAATGTATTGAAGACGTTGCGTCGATAATGTTTCGGTACGATCGGGCTATCCCTACCCGCAGATGTGTCACAAAGTAAGGTTTCATTACCTGTTTTCATCTGTTTGTGCGCAGTTTAAAGGTTGTTGGTGGTAACTCTTGCTGAAGATCACTGTCTTCTTTTGAACCTGGGCGAGTTTCAGAAGGTCGATTCCTTGGAAAATGTTCAAAGAAGTTAATCGAGATAAGGCGTCTGCGACTACATTGTTTGCCCCAGAAATGTGTTGAATATCTGAATTAAATTGCAAAATGTAGTCCAGTTGTCCAGACTCACGAGGTGTATACTTGTCTGAAGAAGAGCTTAAAGAGAAAGTAAGAGGTTTATGGTCGGTAAAAGGGTGAATCTGTAGAATTATGGTCTACTATGATATTAGCACTGCTCTAATAATAGACCTAATCCTAAAATTGTAGATTTATCATGGTGTAACTGCCTAATCTATAAGATCTTACGTGGAAGTTACATCATCGCCTACACCAATTCATTGCATTGTAACAATTACCAATACGTGATAGAGAACAAGCTTAGGCTAGAGATGGAACAATATATTTAATATGAATAAAAGACATAACGTAACATTTAGCAGCAGGGACCACGCCTGCATGGTTGAGCCATGCCATAAGATTAACTCGTATTAATTCAATTCACTGTTCCCGCCTTTCTTCATTGTTCCGTATTTCCCAGCGTTTAATGTTGAATGTCTATTTTCCAGTTTGTCTCGTGTTACGGCTCGATGCCACTACACTACTCTCCCACCAGAATCAACGTGACGTTGGTTCGATACCAATTTGGGTGGGATTGTCGCGCGCTGGAGGTTACCAAGAATAATACGAACCCTCCGGGTATTGATAAGCTGGAAGATAAATCGAAAAGAACGAGGCAGAAACTGGTCGGGAAATACATATGTATATCAATTTTAAAACGCCTAACACGATTAAAATGAAAATTTAGGTAAAGATTATTTGAGCTAAACAAAGTGGGATTATAATAATAAAATGATTCAGTATAAGTATATTTTAATAAAGTGCCGTAAGATACGTAGTGATATCCGTAGGTTAATAATATTTCCTGTTTAGGAATATTAAAAACAATCAATATTGTAGAAATGTTAAAACTGGTATTATATTTGGTCTAAATTATGAAATCAAATAACGTATGTGCCGGTAAGTTGTCCATGAGTAGATCTCCAATTGCATCTGTATTAGTAGGCTAACTGAAAGAACAAAAGTGTAACCGCAGAGAAGAATTCCAACTAGTGTTCCAGTTAGTTTGATACTGTTTATTTAGATATGGGGAGATTTTCTCGACCTCGTTTGTACTTGACCGTGATAGAATTTAGTAATACAACTAATACATATGAATTGTTATCAAAAATTTTTAAATACGTGAAAAGTAATTATTACGTGGATTTTGGACATATAGCTAAGAGCGATTCGTTAAACATGAGTGTATCCGTTAGAGATATGCTCTAGACTCAATGTTCTGATTTGCCATAGACTATTTATTTATATTCATACCTATCGGCTGATGGTACATACAAGTTAGTTGCAAGTGCCAGTTTAGTATAAGACGGAATGCTGTCTCATTGAGACATAGTGATTATAAGTAATTGAAATCAGTTAGGCCTGTGTGCTACATTTCTAGGTGATGTGCTGCTGCAAGATGTATTCGTCTAAATAAGTTTTTACAAGATGATTAACAGTGAGCGAT